ATTGTTCTCATCGATGCTGTATCACTTGCATTCGACCTTTGTGTTAGGTCCTTATTCCACCTAGCTTCATCAATATCATGACCCTTATGTTTTTCAAACAATAAGGTCTGAATTTCACCAACAGAGAGCGATCTTTCAACACTGTGTCGGACAGGTGTTTGGGAGCCAGAGGCGCGTGCGCCACTCAAGGTTGTTCACTCAGTACTAACCCAGCCAGCAGCCCTAGAACATTCTGGGAATTTTTCCAAGATGGCTGCCTCTTACTAGAGGTCCCAAGAGTCCATTTCATACACAACCCATTGCGCACACGTTTTGAATGGGTATGAAATATTCATAAGGTGTTTTCTCGGTTGGCGCAGTTTCCCATCGACAGAGTTTTCTCGGTTGGCGCAGCACAGTGGTTAATCATATATTTTTAATTTTGCCCGGGGGGGGGCTAGTTACTAATTGTAAATAACAGAACATAATATCAGTGCAGTATCTCATTGATTGTGTATTTATTTAAAATAAAACCAGCAATGAATGTAATGAAATGCCATTTTCTGGGCAAGACCCAAAGGCTTCCCGGAGCTATACCAGGCTTAAGTGTATACATATTACACCATGGCAACAGTCAATCGATGGAGTCCTATGGACACCCCCATGTAGTTGGAAGCAGTCTATATCTGCAATCTACATGGTCAGGCACCCAGAAAGGTAGGAATCCCGAAACAAACTACTGCTGGTGAAAAATTGCTAACCGAAAGTCAAACGAGCAAACAGAACTCCACAATCAGAAAACAAACAAACAAGTATGACATTACCACAGCCCCTTATGAGAGGCGCAGAGAGCATTGGCGTGTGAGCACCTTACATTTAAAGGATGTCATATTCCGCCATTGACCAGGACAGGTACCCAGAAAGATAGACGAACCAAAACAAAAAACTAGCCTGGAAATTGCTATCTACTGCCCAAAAGCCAAGAAACTCCTGCCAAAATAAAAGTATAAATTCAAAAACCTTGTCGGTAACGAGCATGTCTGCTCGTTTGCGTAACCCCCACTGAGGGGAGGGGGAGGTTACAATTCAGGCAAGGCAACCACAACCACTCCAGTTCGAAGCCTGATGGAAAAAAACGCCAACCAGAGAGAGGGTGTCAGGGAACCTTCGGGGATATTTAGGGGCTATGGGTTCACCAGGTAATGAAACACCCTCCAGAAAAGGGTGTTTCATTACATTCAACCCAGGATTTCTAGAAGGAGTCCCATTGGCTCCCTGAGACAAACTACCCGAGCAGAAGGAAAAATAGTGACTTACCCGGGAGGCGGCAGCACTGCATGACTCAAGATGAAGCAGGGACCTATGATAGCGACAAACACCCCAAAACGACACAAGGCCGGCAAGGGCCCGAAATGAATGCAAGATATCTGGCGGCCAGGACCCTATTTGACCTCCAAACCCCCATGCCCAAATGTCTATCCAAGAAATGGTGGACATGTCAAACCAACCAAGCATCCACCACAATCATCGACCATCACATGACCCCATCAAAAGCCTGACGTCTCAAACTTTGCCAGAAAAGAGAAGGCTACAACTAAAAAACCAACCACCCAGACCAAAGGAACAGAAAACAACACCAACCGAAGGGGCCACCACAAAATGAGAAGAGAGAAAAAAAAGAACCCAGTCCATAGATCAGGAAAGCTCGGGCAGCACATGAGCATGAGCCAAATCAAGAGCCCCAAGGAACCTGAATCCAGCTCAGCACCTGCCACATAGTCGCAAACCCCCTAATGGCTGTGACCCCAACGGAAGGACCGCCCCCTCCCCCCAGCGCTACTGGCTGACTGGTGAGCACTGGCCACAAGCCCCAACCAAGAGACGAGGCGGCTGTGAACGCATCGAGTGAGGGAAGGGAAAGGCTCCATGGTACCTAACCCCGAAAACCCCAAAGAGGAAGCCAGTGGCGTAGCAACCAACATAAGAACACTGGGGTGCGAACCCAACATTGCGAGGACGGTGAAAGAGGCATTGTCAAAGACACCAAAACAGCCTCCGAGGCGGTGCCGAAGACACCAAAACAGCCTCCGAGGCGGTGCCAAAAACACCAAAACAGCCAAATCCTGCCCAGTGGAGAAACCAGGAGGCAAAATTCAGACTCCCGCAGAGCTGCTCATGCAACTCCTGTGTCCTTTCCCCCCCCCCCTAAAAAAAAAAACAGCTGAAAACGGAACTGCAGCCGGAGCATAGCCGCTGGTGGAAGAGAGATGAATACAGTCCGAGAATCCCATACGAGGCCCAGCCCAGTCCGAACCAGGGATGAAACCAACTGGGACTTTCGCTAAGTTACCAGGATCCCGAACTCGGCAAGCTGGGAAAGAACCAGATCCCAGGCTGGCAGAGGCAGTCATCGAGGCAGGCAGCCAGCCATAAAGACACCAGAACCTTGAACGCATCTGATCAGTGTAAAAGGAACCAAACTCAAAAACTGGATCCAATACAGGCATAAACTGGGTCTCGTAGGAAGTATGTGAAGAGGCGGATCTGAAGAGCCAAAGCACAACCCCCACAAGCTCAATGAGAAGAGGGCAATAAAATTAATACAAACTCACCCTAACCATATGCAGATGTCATTTTACCCTAACCACCGACGACACTTCAGAAGTAAGACGAGAAACACACAATCACGTACCTCCACACCCCTGTCATGTCTGACAGAAACTGCTCCATAGAAACAGCACGCAAAAGTGAATGACCGAATCATCAAGAAAAACAAGTGCGTAGGAACTTAGCACTATCGCTCTCTCTGGACACAGCTCGCGTCCACTTTTTTTCTCTGGAGTCCTAGCCTTGGACTGTGCTTGAGTCCAATAAAAAAATATTTGTATAAAATTCATTTTTTATCCAATCGACTTGGGGACAGTTTCAAAATGAGCGCCTTTAGATTGTGCACAATTTGATATCAAAATGAAAGACGTAACAAGAAACTTATGTCAGAACACTTTAAAGATTATAAATACTACGTTTTTGGTCAAAATTTTAAAATATTTGTTAAAATTCTATTTATTGTGCTATTATTATGGGACTAGTTTTAAAATGCACACCATTACATTACGAACAATTTGATACCAAAATGAAAGATGTAACACAAAAATTTATGTCAGAACACTGGAAAGATATAAATAATATTGTGATGATGAGCATTCAAAATTTACATATTTGTTAAAATTCCAGTTATTGCTCTATTACTATGGAACTAGTTTTAAAATACGAGGCCTTTATACAGCGAACAATTTGATACCAAAACAAGCGACGTAACTTGGAAACTGATGTTATCAAACTGAACGAGTATACACATTAAGTTGCGGGTGTGATAATTGGTTCTCGTTCACGGGTAACTTTAGGCTTTGCTAAGGGGAGTCACACTGGGCTTTTAGACAATATATGCATATACACCTGCAGGGAATTTAATTGCGAACACATTGATATCAAAACGAACAACATAGCATGAAAATTAAGGTGAAAAAACTGAAACGAGTATACATATTTCACTGATTTTGTGTGCTGACAGGTAACTTTTGCCGACTTTAGGCTTTGCTGTGGGGAGTCAAGCTTGGCTGTTGGACCTTATATGCATATACACATGTAGAGAATTCTATTGTGAACACAATGATACCAAAACGAGCGACACAGCATGAGAATTAAGATGAGAAAACTGAAAAGAGTATACAGACTTAGTGTCGCTGAGCACTCACCCACACGCTCACCCGCACTGCCAGGGGGCACTTCGTGCATACACGCGGAGCGCACGCCCAGGGCGCGATAGTGTTAGAAACGCCCCAAAAAAGGGGCCGACGCCCAGCCACCATATGTAAACAAACACAGCTGGGAAGACATGAGACGATTAGTATAAAAGGTAGAAGATTGCCCGATGGCCAGTCATAGCAACACAAACAGGAGAGCAAAATGGCCGCCAACACATACACATCCAAGTAAAATCCGATGTGGTTTTGCACTCGACTCAAGAGTGTGTAGTCATGCTGATAAACATGGTAAAACTAATGCAAAAGGAAGTTTTAGGCCTGTTTAGGCCCAAGTCTCCTTGGGCCTAAACAGGGGCCCAAGGAGCCCAAGCGCCCCAAACAGACTCCCTCCAAGGCCCGGGAACCCCGAAACAGACCCTGGGGTAGAGCCCTCTTCCACGCCCGCTATATCTGAAGAAAAGGCAGAGTTTATACTTTATTTTGGCAGGAGTTTGGGTGGTAGGTAGCAATTTCCAGGCTAGTTATTTGTTTTGGTTCACCTATCTTTTTGGGTACTTGTCCCGGTCGATGGCGGAATATGACATCTTTTAAATGTAAAGTGCTCACACGCCAATGCTCTTTGTGCCTCTCATAGGGGGCCAGGTTCTGGCTGGTGGTCTCTGGTAGGCCTAAGAACTCCATGTGACTGATGACCCCAAACTAATATAGCGCATGTCAGTCTGGATAGGATCCCCCACCCCCAGAAAATAAGAAATCATAACTAATTATTTTTCATTATAGAATTATTAACGTGTAGGCAAAATGTAATGATAAACATGAAAATAAATAAATATTTATAGTTTCACTGGGTAGAGGTACTCTGCTAGGCTGCATCTGGCACTTGTCAACGCCTGGAGCTTTACTTTGCCGACACTTCCCGTTTTATCCTCGGATGTTTCACTGATTGTTTAATCACTTGTTTTTCTTTATTTACAGCCATAAAGAGTTATTATATCCATATTTACTTCATGCATGTAAAATCCAGACAATAATTGTTTAAATCGTCATATGACAATGAACGCATCCCTCTAGTAACATTCATGATGATAACCACATTCGTATCACGAAATACCAGCAGGATCTGTTAATTAAATAACTGCTAATGCAATTAAAAAATTGTATTATAAGTTTTGAATAGCTTTCTATAAAAATTGTTTGTACAACTATCCAGGCTTTTTCTTGACCAATAAAACTAATAATTTAATGACATCTACTAACCTTTGAATAGGTTTGTTTCTTTCATTTTCCTGAGTTTCATCTGTTAAATTAACTTCTCCCACTACTTGCACATTCATTTCTTCTTCAGCTGGCTCAGGAATCACTTCTGACATTCCTTCTGCAGCATTCATTTCTGCTTCCGTTGGCTCAGGAATCAACACAATGGCAGACCAAGGTAAAAAATCCAGGAAATTCCTAAATGATAAAAACAAAAAAAAATTAATAATAAAAAACCAACGTTGAATGTAATGAAACGCCATTTTCTGGATGAGCCCCAGAGGCTCCCTGGAGCTTATCGGGCTAATGTATATTATATTAGACCAGGACATTAGCTAAGGAGTTCAGACTTACCAGGGACCAGCGCCAGAACCTGGCCCCTTCAGAGAGGTTTCAAGGAGCAATGGCACTGGAAAACCCCTTTGTAGTTGGGATTTCCTTATCTGCCATCGTCCGGAGTCATGCACCCAGAAAGGCAGGCATAACAAAACAAACCCCACATGGTAAAAAAACTAAAACAAAAAAAAAAAACAGAGGTAGAAACTCCCTACAATCACAAAGAAACAAGCAAACAAGCAAACATCACACTTTACTGCCGCGCCGATCGTCCGCGCAGCCCTCCCCGCCCAGAGAGGGGGAGGGGAGAGCCCCGGACCTACCGCGCCGGCTGCCAAGCTTCAGTTCGGAAGCTAAGCTTCAACCAACGTGAAAAAACCGCCGACCGGTGAGAGGGAGGGTTGCCAGGGAGCCTCCGGGTCTCACCCAGAAAATGGCGTTTTATTACATTCAACGCTGGTTTTCTGTGGGGAGCCCCTACGGCTCCCTGGAGCTTCATACCCAAAGAGAAGAAAGGGCTAACCCGGGAGGCGGCTGCCACAAACTCCACAATGCGAAGCCGAGACAACAGGCTGCAACCTGCAACCCAAGGCAACAAGAACGTACAGGAGCAGACGCGCATAAAGAATGGGCGGCCAAGAACCTGTGCGACCCTCAAATCCCTGCGAACAAAATGAGCCCTAGACGTCACCAACATAGTAGTAAAAGCTGCAAAAGTCTGAACAGCACGGGCGGAAAGACAGACTGCAGGCTGGAAGACTGAAAAACTCTGCAGACGACCTGGGAGACCCGAGCCCAGAAAACAGGGAACGAGGGGAACTGGATCAATCACAGCACATCCCCAGACACTGTACGCAGGTAACGGCAAAAAGCATAACCGGACAACATAGGACGCACCCCCGGCCAAACCAATCAAGCATCAATACCCCAAGAACCCCTTCGGAAAGCAGCCGTCTCGACCGTCGCCAGGACAGAGAAAGGCTGCACACGTACAAATCTACCACCAGTACCAAAGAGCAGAAACCTGAACTGAAGGGGCTACCACAAACTGAGGAGAAGATAAGAAGGCACCCTGATCAAGGACCAGGACGGCTCAGGCGACGCATGAGCAGGCCGGAGGTGAAACAAAACACGAGAAAGCGTACAAAACGGGGCAGATGTGACGTCCACCCCGAACGCAAGACGGAGCGGCTTCACCAGCGCCGCACAAAACGAGGCGACAGTAAAAACATCAAATAACTGTAGTCCTGAAAACCCAAGAAAGGACAAGACAACCCAATGCAAAAGAGAAGACAACCTACGAAGAGCAAGAAAAAGGTGCAAAGAAACACCAAGAACGTCATACTGTCGCCAAGACGAAGCTCGCAGGTGGGACACTGTCAACAAAGCCACCTGAACACCACAGAGATGGTGATACCCGTGTCAAAATACCAGACGCGAAGAGCCGAGGAGAAGGCCGATCTAGTCACGTACAGGACCGATCTGACCTGCCGAAAGAGACGGAGCTGTGGGAAAACGCCTCGGGTTCGGACACCTATTAAGCAGCATCTGAAAATAAAGCTGGGACGGCCACCAAGGAACCATAAGGAGCCGAATGGTAGAGCACCGAGTGACCCAAACCCTCCGAAGCGCAAACAGCCACGAACTCCCAAACCGTGCTGTGAGCCCGACGGACAGACGGACTCCACCATCCCTAGCCGACCTGGTGAGCACTGGTCACAAAGCCCCAGCCGAGAGATCACCCGTCCGTGAACACATCGAGTGAGCGCTCGGGGAGGTGCCAAGGCACGGAACCCCGAAAACCCCAAAGAGGAAGCTGGTGACGCAGCACCAACATAAGATCCCCAGAAAAACGAACCCAACGATTGCAAGAGGCGGAAGGGGAGTCTCTGAAGGAACCAAACAGACGCTGAGGCCAAACCCGACTCCGCGGGCAGACCAGCACGTCGAAGTTCAGACTCCCGCACAACCGCTTAAGCAACTGCTGAGGAACCCATGAACAGCCGAAGGTGGGACCACAGCCGCAGTAACACTTCTGGAGGGAAAGACAAGGAGTGGCCCAATAGCCCTAAACAAGGCCCAGGTCCGAACCCGGGACAGAAACAGATGGAATGGCCTCCAGATCACAAGGAAACCAAACCCGGCAATCTGGAAAGAACCACACCCCTGGCAAGCAGACAAGCGGACCGACTGGGAGCCCACACCAGCCAGTGGTCAAGGTAGGCCAGACACCGAATCTCAAGCAACCTCAGACAGGGCACTAAGATCCGGTAAAGATGCAAAAATACACTAAGTGCCAATTACAAAATAGGGAAGGCAACAAAAGCAGCAAGCCTGAAGCCCCACCACCAACGTTGCTAGTCCCGGAAAACTGGAGAGGTACGTGCCAAGAATTGACGTGGAGGTCCAGGGCCACCATCCAGGCACCCGGCCCCAACAGAAGCTGGACAGGAGACAACAGTCCTCCGAGGAGGGCATAGAATCCAGGGCGCAGACGGAAGAAGTCCAGAAGAACTGCAGATACGAAAGGCCCATGACTGAAAAGAGCAGACGAGAACCCCAGAGGGATGGGGCGGATCGACCACGTCCAACGCACCCACTAAGATGACATGACGAAGCGCAGGGAAAGAAGCCCACCCCGCCAGCTCTGAACCCCCCCAAAGGGGGAGAAGCCATCCATTGACGCCACCAGAGACTGAAAGACAACCAAAAGCACCCACCAACAGCGGGACCATGCGAGAGTCAACAGAGCAAGCTGCTCCCCCAGCGCCCCGTCAACAGAGAAACGAAAAGAGCCCCTTCCGAAAGAAAAAGTACACATATACACATATACATTATGTATATACAAATACAAATACACACAAGGTATGTTACACACACGTGTGTATACACATGTGCACACTCACACAGCGTACACATGTACATGCGTACACATACACTTTAAAAGAGAAGTACAAGCCGCCGACCAGTGGGCAGAGAGCACCAAGCCGGCCAGGCAAAGAAGGCACAAAACTGCATCAAAAGGCCCACCTCGACAACAAAACCTCAAAGTCCCAGCATGACCACAACATGTGCCAAGACCCAAAAAGATCAGTCTGCAAGCCAGGAAGACCCCGGAATTCCAGAAGGCAGAACCGGGTCACACGACGAAACAAAGCCCCCTGAACCCACAAAGGGGGCCCAAGAGGAAGAAACCTCCGGAACGAAACCAAAAAACCCAAAAGAACTGGAATCGAACCAGGGGGAGGCCAAACCACCACATTTGTGGGCGGAGAAACACCACAGAAAGGCAAAGCACAGCCCCCAGACAGAACCCCCTGGGAAACGGTCATAACAGACCGAAAACCGAGGGACAAGGTGTGGGAGCAAGCATAACAGCCAGGGACACTGAGCCCAAACCCAAGGGCCCAGACCCAAAACACACAAACAGGGAAACCCGGTGTGAAATCAACACCCAAACGTTCCCAGAGAAACAGGAAACGGGCAGAAAAAAACAGAAAAGCAAAGAAACGACAACAGGAGAATAAAACCCCTGAAAAAAAGGTGAAAACTCACCCAAGAAGCTCGCTCGCACACCCAGGCGCATGTAAACAAACTGCAACGTCGCCATGGTGGCCACACCGGGAAACCGGCAGATGAAAATGGCCGCCAAAACAGAGGGCTGTGACCGACGCTAAAGATAGGAAAACACGCCAGCAAAAGTGGGAAGCAAGCAGACTGGATGGGTGAAAAACTCCGCCCAAAAGCAGAAAACCCAGGCAGGGGCAAACTGCCCCAGAACTGCTAGCAGGCATCCCCCACAGCCCCGGGAACCAGCAACAGAGGCCCCGGGGCAGAGCCGTCCTCCAAGCCCTCCGCCCTTAAAGAAAAGGAAGAGTCCATGGGAAAGGCAGCAAGAAAGAGCCGCTGGTAAGACCCAGAAGCCTTGGCAGTAGGAACAGGCTCGAAAACCTCCGTTCCCCAACCCGAACGGGGCAGCCCCCGAAAACCGCCCGAGTCTCGGCCCCAACTAAACCCCACCCCAACCCCAAAACCTGCAGACGGTCCGGAGCCGGGAACAGGGAGGGAAAGGGGTGAACAGCACCTAACCAAAACGGGGCGGCCTCAGGGCATCCAAGTGGGAAACCAACCTAGTATGTTGCAGCAACCTAACCTAGCTTGCAACACGGATGCCGCCTGTACTCTGAACAGTAATAACATCAGGAGAGTACTGGAGAACAAGGAGAAAATCTCTTTCGCAAGGCTCTGGGTCAAGGTGTCAGTGACCCAACAGGCAGCATGACAGAGGTAAAAGTGGCGACTGTCACCCGGAGACATGTGCGAGGAGCCTATGCCATGCTTTCTAACTTCAGAATTGCTTTTAAATACATGGATGGCGATATACTAAAGAAATTGTTCACAACTTTTGTTAGGCCAAAGCTAGAATATGCAGTAGTTGTGTGGTGCCCATATCTTAAGAAGCACATCAACAAACTGGAAAAGGTGCAAAGACATGCTACTAAGTAGCTCCCAGAACTGAAGGGCAAGAGCTACGAGGAGAGGTTAGAGGCATTAAATATGCCAAAACTAGAAGACAGAAGAAAAAGAGGTGATATGATCACTATGTACAAAATAGTAACAGGAATTGATAAAATCGATAGGGAAGATTTCCTGAGACCTGGAACTTTAAGAACAAGAAGTCATAGATATAAACTAGCTAAACACAGATGCCGAAGAAATATAAGAAAATTCACTTTCGCAAACAGAGTGGTAGATGGTTGGAACAAGTTAGGGGAGAAGGTGGTGGAGGCCAAGACCATCAGCAGTTTCAAAGCGTTATATGACAAAGAGTGCTGGGAAGACAGGACACCACGAGCATAGCTCTCATCCTGTAACTACACTTAGGTAATTACACTTAGGTAATTACAGCAACCAACGATCCTGTACGAGACGGGTTGGAACCCGGAAGACACATTCAATGGTCCCCCGAGCGCAGACAGGGGTTTCCAGGGCCCGTAGGCTGACTGCTACGGGAAGCCCGGGCAAGGTGTTGCTAACCGGTTAAGAAACCCAAAAATAACAAGATGGTAGAGGATAGCACTGAAACCCCTGCGATGTGTACAGTCACGGGGGCCTAGCAGAGGGCCGCCAAACACTACCAGTGGAACTATAGCCACACTAGGCAGACCCCCCACCAGGCATTAAAATAAAAACAAAAGAAAAACCCCGCAAAAGTACACCGTCTCCAGAGGCAACAGGAACCGGTCGCCGCTTAGGTAGCAGGTCGCGCAACACCTTGACACCCTAACCAGCACAATACCAGTCCCTACCCATGGCCAAACATGGGCCCCAAGCCCCAGCTGGCCCCAAGGGCAAGGCAAATGCCGAGCAGCAAGAACCTCTACGGGAACGATTCCCGAACGCCCCAGGGAAGATAAACCTGTCACGCAGGGGCAGTACTCACAGGGCGCTTAGGGAAGGAAGCCCCTAAGCGCATGCAGCCCCAGCACTGATGAGGTACTCCTGGCCACCACACAACACAACACACAGCAGTGAATGCCACACAAGGCAAACACCGCCTAGGAAACTGAGGCCAGAGAAGTGTCTATCCCAGTTGACATTAGCTTACGAACTGAAGCTAGGCAGCCGGTGCGGTAGATCCGGGGCTCCCCCTCCCCCTCTCGGGGCTGGGAAGGCTGCGCGGACGATCGGCGCGGCAGTAAAGTGTGATGTTTGCTTGTTTCCTTGTGATTGTAGGGAGTTTCTACCTCTCTGTTCGGTTTTTTGTTTTAGTTTTTTACCATGTGGGGTTTGTTTTGTTATGCCTACCTTTCTGGGTGCCTAACCCTGGTCGATGGCAGATAAGGAAAACCCCAACCACAAGGGGGTTTTCCAGGGCCATTGCTCCCTGAAACCTCTCTGAAGGGGCCAGGTTCTGGCACTGGTCCCTGGTAGGTCTGAACGCCTTAGCTAATGTCCCGGTCTAATATAACATACATTAGCTCGATAAGCTCCAGGGAGCCATAGGGGCTCCCACAGAAAAGTGTTTTTTCATCTTGTTGATATGAGCATGCTGAACTGCTATAATATGTATCTAGTGAAAACTGGACGTAAACCAAGTTTCCGTTTGTTTGCTTTTACACTTGGGGCACAGTTATTAACAAAATTTGGCAAAGATGTTCCTGGCATACAAAGACCCATCATGAACCCAGTGTTGCAGCATGCTGCTACACCCAAGCTCTCTCACATTGAAGGCTTTCAAGCACACAGACTAAAACATTTGCCACCAGCTGGAAAGCGTACAATAGGCCAACGTGATTGCTTAGTTTGTAGATCAACAAAATGGAAAGATCAGAAACGAAAACAGGTGCAAACATGGTGTGAAGCATGTGCAGTCCCATTGTGTGCTGTCAACTGCTTCAACAACCACCACTCTCTCCAAGACTTCTAAATGTGCAATATTAGTGCAAAAACCTGTCAATAGTGCGTGCATGTGTGTAAATATAATAATGAACAATGTGAATACAGTACATATTATATTGGCATAATGGAAAACATTTGTGTGTGCATGTGTATTTTTGACATATGCAACATTTATTGCCATTGACCATGATGTAACATTATATGCAACACAATTAGTGAATAATATTAGCAATAAAATACGCCTAGACACTGTAAATAATGCCGCGAAAATATATTTGTGGTAACTATGGCTGCTTGAAGACCGCGTGCGACGCCTATGGGACGCACCTTGCATGAGCGATCATGCAGGGTGTGATGTCATCGCCTATATTGTCGGCTCAATTACGTCACCGGTAAGTACAATTAATTTCTTTTTCTCGTGGTGACGGAACACAACTTAACAGGTTAGGATTTTTTTTTTTTTCTTTGGTATATGCGCCTCTGGGTGACAAAGGCTAATTAGCTCTGAGCAACTCAAGGGCTAATATTAGGAAAATTAAAAGAAAATGACAACTTGATTAGCTTTGGACCATCATCATATCAAAACAGGTCAAATGTGGTGGATCAAAACATTATCTTCACTGAATGTTTGAATTCAGTGTTAACTTTTTCCAACTGTGGTATTGTAACTTATTCTTCATATAAGAATATTTACAAACATTTAGTTTACTAACTAGTAGCTTTATAGACAAAATACAGTAAAACATAATATATATTAAAACATAAAATGGGTGCTTAGCTTATTTAATAAATTAGGAATGGTAAATAACTGTATGTACTATACCTCTGGTACTGATTGATGATATCATTTAAATGATTTGGAAAATTGTTCCTTCCATCATAAATTGCTTGTAGATCCAGTGGATGAAGCATGACATTGTCCACATCTTCGCTGTATGTGTCTTGAAGCAGTTGGATTGGATTTCGTACAAAATCTGACACAATGTCAAGCTGCACATTTTGATCTCTGTCTGCAGCTTCCAATACACTGAAAACAAAAAATGAAAGTAACCTTAATTATGCCACTTAAAGCAGTTTTTTTTATTAAAATGCAGTGTATTTGTGGAGAAAATAAAAGTGAAGGGATTACAGGAAAAAGAGCTGTACCTACAGAATCCTCTCTCTTTGTATACAAAGTGAGGGTTACAGGAAAAGAGCTGTACCTACAGTATTCTCTCTTTGTATACAAAGTGAGGGGGGTTACAGAGAGAAAGCTGTACCTACAGTATCCTCTCTTTGTATACATAGTGAGGGTTACAGAGAAAGCGTTGCACCCAGAGCCAGCACTTGGGTTGCATCAGCAACCCAAGTGCTGGCCATGCACTGCCAAACTGAACTTCAGGGCCCAGTATAATTATAATTTTTTTAAATAGTTTTATATATTTTATATATAATTTTTATAATTTATAAGTATAATTATAATTATAAGTGCAGTATAATTTTTTTATTTCACAAGAAGGAAAAACATTAACTGTACGAATAAAGAGTTTGTTACAGTTTAAAACCTAAAGAAGAGTTCAATCACATTCTAGTTTTTATCTATTTTTCCTTCATTTGAATATTTTTTTAATAAAAATTGAACAGTAATACATTATTTTAGGTATATGGACAGCCTATAACAAGTTATATGACTTACTGTATAAATATATCTATAATCAAACTCAATGTGATAGTTAATGACTGATGACAAATTAGCATACTGTATTCATAGTACAAAGAAAAGAAGGCAAATTAACAATTTAATGAAAGTTAAAAACAAAAGCAAATACAAAAACAATACATTCAAATTGGTACAAAATCTGAATGAATTGAGAATTATACTATATCCAGTCAGGTTCACGATGATAAAAACTGTAGATGTAACAAAATGTTTCTCCTAATAAATTACAGAATATGAACAAAAGAACAGATGCTGAAAAAACCAGCATTGGATGTAATGAAACACCATTTTCTGGGTTGAGCCTCGGAGGCACCCTGAAGCTAATGGACTGATATTCATTATGTTAGTCTAGAGCATCAGTTATTGGAGTTCTGTTCCAACTGGAAACCACGAGCCAGAACCTGATTCCCTCAGCGAAGCGCAGGGAGTAATGGTTTATGAACATTCCACTTTTTGAGAGTATGTCATGTCTGCCATCGACCGGGGGTATCACCCAGAAAGGTAGGCGAACCAATACAAACCTCTACTGGTAAAACATTTGCAACCCAAGCCCAAGAACTCCACCCAAGAGGAAACAACAAACAAGCAAATAACCAATCTACTAGTGCACCTGCCGTTAGAAACCCCCCCTCCACTGGGAAGTTATCTTAACCCTTAAAGGACACAAATCCTACATTATGTACAGGATGTAAGTTTTGTACATAATCTACTAGCAAATGTTCTAATTTTGTCTAAATGATCACCAACGTAACTTTAAAAACAAGGACATCAAAAATAATTTTAAAATTGAATATTGAAAACTTCAGATTTTCAAATTAGATTACAAAATATAAAATATCACCAATTGTTCATTTGGTGTTATTATGCTCTCAGAATAGCATATGATCTTCATTTTCATAAAATTAGAATACAGGTTTTGAGTATAGTTTACTGTAAAAAAAAAAATTGTCAATATAGCATTTGAAATATGCAGCAAATTTAGACAAAAAACCAGCGTTGAATGTAATGAAATGCCATTTTCTGGGCGAGTCCCGAAGACTCCCCGGAGCTATTCATGGCTCATATGGATACCCTAACTATTTTGCATCAGTCGATGTGGGTGGAATTCTAGGCCTACCGGGGACCACGGGCCAGAACCTGGCCCTCCTCACAGAGGCATGAGGAGCAATGGCCCATAGAAATGCATATGTGATTTGGAGAATTACCAGTCTCCGTGGTGCAGTGGTAAGACACTCGCCTGGCGTTCCGCGAGCGCTTTGTCATGGGTTCGTATCCTGGCCGGGGAGGATTTACTGGGCGCAAATCCTAAACTGTAGCCTCTGTTTAACTCAACAGTAAAATGAGTACTTGGTTTTAACAACGATTCTTCGCGGCGGGGGTCGTATTCCAGGGACCTGCCCGAAACGCTACGCGTACTAGTAGCTGTACAAGAATGTTACATCTCTTGTATATATCTTAAAAAAAAAAAAAATCTATATTTGCCATTGACTGGGACAGGCACTCAGAAAGGTAAGCGCCACAAAACAAACCCCTATTCTGGTTAACAACGAAAATCGTCAAACGAGTGGACAGAAGTCCCCAAAAGAAAAACGAGCACACGAGCATGACGTCACATGAGCCGCGCCGCATGTCTGCGCAGCTAGAGGGGGAGCCCCAGACCCTCGCGCGGGCATTCCCCACCCCAGTTCTGAGGTTGGATATCAAAAACCGTGAAAAAAATACCAACCGGAGGGATGGAGGGAGGGTTGCCGGGGAGCCTCCGGGACTCGCCCAGAAAATGGCATTTCATTACATTCAACGCTGGTTTTCTGGGGGGAGCCCCTACGGCTCCTCGAAGCTACTTCACCAAAGACAACAAAAGAAAAAGGGAACTTACCCAGGAGGCGGTCAGTCCTCCAGCCTCAACTCGAAGTCGAGACAACGAGCTGCAACTGCTGACCCAAAGCAACACAGGCCCGACTGGGTCCAGGAACGTTCACGAGGTAGTGTGCAGCCAGGACCCTGTTCAACCACCAAAAGCCCCGTGCCCAAATGTCAGCCCAAGACATATTGCCAAAGACGGCAGCAAGAGCACCAAATTTACGAACGACATGGGCATGGGGATAGACCACAGGCTGGCTGGATTTAATAACCCTGCGGACAACCTGAGAGACCTGAACCCGCGAACAGGGAAGGGAAACAGGATCAACCAAAAGTGCGTTCCCGGACACAGAAGCCGTGGCGCGCAGATAACGGCGGAGGGCCACAACCGGACACAACACATGATGAATCCCCAGCCTGACAAACCAAGCATCAACAACCCAAGAACCCCTCCGGAAGGCAGCAGTCTCATGTATCGCCAGAAAAGAGGGAGACGGCTGTAGACATACCTATGACCATGACCAGAAGAGCAAAAACCTCTGTGCCGGAGAAGAGCATGAACCTCCGCCACATGCCCCCCTGATGCGAATGCCAACAGAAAAAGTCTTAGCAAAACAATCCTGAACCGAAGGGGCCACAACAAACCGAGGAGAAGAAAGAGCACTCTGTCCAAAGACAAGCACGGCTCAGGCGGCGCATGAGCAGGCCAGAGGTGAAACAACGCACGAGATAGCTTGCGAAACAGTGCAGAAGTAACATCGATACCGAAAGCAAGTTGCAGAAATTCCGCCAGCGCCACACGATATGAGGTGACAGTATTAGGCATATGATGACGGTCCTGGAACAATCACGAGAGAAAGGATACCACCACTCGAACTGAAAGCGAAGAGCAACAACAAAGGGACAAAAATAACCGGAAGGACCGCCAAGAAACCTCATACTGCCGCTGAGAGGAAGCCCGCAGGTAGGAAACGAGCAAGGAAGCCACCTGAACACCATAGAGATGGTGATAAACATGAGTCAAAAACATCAAACGGAAGACTCGCAGAGAAGAGAGAACCAGTCTCGCACCGGAAAGGGTCGATCTCCTGAAAGAGGCGGAGCCGCGGAAAAACCTCCGGGTTCGGACACCGAGCAAGCAGCGCCTGAAACCAGGGCTGGGCCAGCCACCATGGGGCCAAGAGGACTACTCGCCCCTGGTAAGTCTCCAAGCGAGGCACGACCTGGAGTAACAACTGAACCGGGGGAAAGAGGTACAGGAATCCCCACCTCGACCAGTCCAGCCAAAAGGCGTCAATCCCGACAGCCTCGCAGTCGGGGAAGGGCATCACATATACTGGAAGACGCCTCAACCACGCTGACGCGAAGAGGTCCACTTCCGGGCGCCCGAATGTCTGGCAGAGCCAGCTAAATGAGTCGGCGTCGCCCATCCATTCTGTGGACAGGGAAACGAACTGGGACAGGCCGTTGGACACCCCTCCCGGACGTTAACCGCCAGGAGAGCTAAACCCAGAGAACTGAGCAGACGAGTCACCCGAAGCGACCAACCACAAGAGCCAAAGAACGCATCAAACCAAACCGGTTCAGGCAATGAACCACTGGGGAGCACCGTGCTGTGGACCCAACGGAAGGACGGATCCCACTGCCCCTGGCCGGCCTGGTGAGCACTGGTCACAAAGCCCCAGCCAAGACGACGCGTCCATGAACACATTGAGCGAGGGCCCAGGAAGGTGCCAAGGAACGCAACGCAGCAGCCGACACAAGACCCCCAGGGAATGAACCCGGGGAATGAACCCAGCGATCGCCAGAGAAGCGGAAGGGACGTCCCCGAAGGAACCAGAACAGTCGACGAAGCCAAACCTGACCCAGCGGGTAGACCAACATCGCAAAGTTCAGGCTCCCGAATAGACCCTCGAGCAACCGCAGGGTGACCCGGGAGCCCCCCAGAAGCAAGCACAGGCGAGACCGCAGCTGAAGGAGAGACACCGGAGGAAGTGGCAAGGAAGCGGTCCGAGAGTCCCACACAAGACCCAGCCAGGTCCTAACCTGGGAGGGAACCAGAACTTCCTCCAGTTCACCAGGAACCTGAACCCGGTGAGCTGGGAAAGCACCAAATCCCTGGCGAGCAGACACACGGACCGACTGGGAGCCCAAATCAGTCAGTCATCGAGGTAAGCCAAAACTCGAACACCTAACAGACGCGGACAGGCCACCACGACCCGGGTAAGGCATGTGAACACGTGAGGTGCCAGATTCAACCCAAAACAGACAACGAAAGCGGTAACTCTGACACCCCACAACAAAACCGAGCATGTCCCAGCTAGAACCCCAGATGAATAGGGACGTGCCAATACGCGTCTTTGAAAGTCACGTATTGGCATGATCAAGACGTGTATTGGCAAAATGGTCCCAGGGACACCATCCAAGCGCCTGGCTCCAACTGAAGCCAGACCTGGGACAGAGTGGTC